CAGTTGCCTGTATGCTGCAAAATCTGCCGAAGACTGTACTGACTGTCGATACACTCTTAATCTTTACAACGTTGTTGACGAGAGACTTGTGGACGATAAATTCGACACCACTTGGAACAGATGGTCGCCCTCCTGGTGATAAAACAAGTTGCCGGATTCGAGAATTACCGTGTCCTCCCCCCCTCTTTTCGGACCTCGGATAATCCTATAATATTCCAGCACAACTTGTCTATCTCTTCTTCCAGCTCCAGGACCTCCTCGTCAGTGCTCAGGGTGCGTGCGTTACATGTTTTTATTTATTTATTTAAAAACTTAAATGTATCACCTTATGGTAAAGGGTACATAGGGCGGACTTAATGTCCTGTGGCATTCTCTGCCGGTCAACCCTCGGTGCCAAAGGCAATTATTAGCAAGTGCGAAACATAATACATAAATAAAGTGTACATAATATATTAACATATAATATATGCATAGTACATATAAACTTTATAAATAAATATCCATATGAATATATAAATAAATAAATATTTGAAGAAAAAAAAAGAAAAATAATGTCAGTTAGTAGTTGCCTTCAGGTACCTCAGGTAATGTTGTCGTAGAAGTAATTTAAAGTAGTTTTAATTTGTTGCATTTTTAATATCATTTAATATCATCCCTGTATCGTAAAAGAGGACCTGAAAAAAATTAGACCTGTGCTGTGGAAACCTTATCCTCAGACGGTTGATTGTCATGATGTTCACCGTCGATCGAACAAAATGAAAGATATTATAATAGATAAGAACACGACCTTGGATCGTTTAAAATTGAATAAAGTGCAAGTAAAAAAGCCTTTGACGTATAGGTAGCCATTTAAGGTGAAACATACGGTCTGTTCCCGGCCATATTCCCGCGAGATGGCGCTGAAGTCATCATTTTTTAGTTTATTTGGGTTTTTGTGTAATTGGAACATTATTAAGTCGTAGAAGTAGCAATCGCGGTACTCGGACACTATACTTTATTTTACTAGGTCATATCATTGCCCCAAAATCCACACATTCAACACAAGGTCCGAAAATAACATCTGTCATTGAATATAGTGTCGTTTACACAGACGTGGGTGAATTTTTAGTCCCTATATTTACGAAAATTGAACACTAGATGGCGTGAATGAAAAAAATGTTATCTTTTTTTCTGTATGGGTAGGCAGAAGCAGAACTACAGAACGCCACCTGCTACGATATATATAATGTACGATTCATCATCTGCCTGGCCTTTTTCCCAACTATATTGGGGTCGCCTCCCAGTCAAACCGGATTCAACTGAATACCAGTATTTTACAATTATGTTATAAAAATAAAAGTTATATTTGTAAAATGATCCGTGGTAGCTCAGATGGTTAGCACTCGCTGTAAGTATCACAGTACGCGAGAAACCCGGGTCGATCCCCGCCGGCATCAATAAAATTGTTAATTGCAATTTTAAGTTCTTATTTACCACGTGCTTGGCGGTGAAGGAAAACATCGTGAGGAAACCTGCATGTCTGACAAATAAGAAAAAAAAATATATTTCGAAGACATGTGAAGTTCGCCACCACACATTGGGGCAGCGCGGCGGACCTTTCCTTGCACTAAAACCCTCTCAGAAATGAGAGGAGGCCTGTGCCCAGCAGTGGGACGTGTATATAGGCTGTAACTTTAACTTTTTTAACTTATATTTGTAGACGTAAATAAACTATTAAATTCAACAATAATCTTGGAAAATAAATTATTAACACTAAGAACAATAAAACGCAGTTTTATTTTATAACCTTTATACTATTAAAATTTATGATCAAAACAAGTAGGTATTTGAAGTAACACGCCTGATACATGCCTATTCACTCAAAACTAATAACACGGATGATTTGCAACATAATTATTACGAAAATTTGACATTACATAGGTAATACGTAAGAAACTATTCATAAACAAGAGATAACAACAAATCTAAAACACGATTTAGTATGCGATAATTACCAGGAAGGTGAAAAAATATTTCCTAATTTCAAAGCACACACAACTACAAAAGCTTTTAGTGAAACAAAAATAATTTGACTTGTTGATTATTTTTTTATTAGATTAGTTTTAGGGCAAGAAAAGAAAATGTCCGTCGAGGTGCAATTAACAAATTCATCGGCGCCGGCAGCGCTCGAACTCGGGTTGCTCGCGTAGTGTAAAATTTGCAGTAAGCGCTAACCATCTGAGCTACTACTATACTTACATTTATATCTATTCTATTTTTATAAAGTTTAATATTTATAATTATTTTATTGCTAAACATTTTATTAATAAATAAATAATTATTAATCTAATAACCATAATAAAACAAAAATAATAATAAATACATAACCATTATTTTCATCTGTTATCCAAGGACAAATCAACTAAAAAAAACCAGGACCGTAACAAACGATACGACGCGACCTTGAGCTTGATACTACAACAAAATAAAACAAAGTAATAATAATATGTGTCTGTCTGAAATTGTTTGCAAAGTATGTAATAGGTATTGTTGCGCGCCACTATTAATGTCTTGTACATGGCAACACTAGTTATACTAGCGCCCTCTAGTGTCGAGTAGCAGAACTAGGAGAGTCAAGATCTTTCCAGAAATTTCGGGACCGATAGTACTCGAACATTCTAGATGTCGCTACAGTAGAAGGTTCTGGAAACTATCTGAGGCCCTATATAACGCCGGTATAGACCACGACCGAGGCAGTATTGAATTGGCGATACAGGAGAATACTTCGAAGCGAAATAACAGCGAACTGTGTTTTATTATTAGTGTGATTTTTAGTTGTAATTAGTGCTGTGTAATTAAAGTGTCAATTTTGGTAATTCACTCGGCATTTTATAATTGTCGCGAACCCCAAGCTCGTAACAATTGGTGTCAGAAGTGGGATCAAATCATGCCGATTTTACCAAAGGACGACATGGAGGGTATCCGTACCCGAAGTCAACGCCAGCTGGAGACGGACCAGAGACGATTTGGTAATGCAACCCCGCAAACGTCGGAGGGCCAGCTGCTGACAACGGAGGCCGGCCCGTCAGCAGCTCCAGCATCTGCAGCACCTGACTTAGGTGCGCTGATGATGATGCTGCAGGATCAGACTCGCCGACAGGAGGAACAGGCCCATCGGTTGGAAGAGCATCTGCAGCGCGGACAGGAAGAACAGGTCCGTCGGTTGGAAGAGCAGCTGCAGCGCGGACAGGAGGAACAGGCCCGTTGCTTGGAAAAGCAGCTCAAACGCGATAAGGAAGAGCAGATGCTTCTCATGAAGGACCTTCACGCTACCTTCGGGAAAGAGATAAAGGAGGTGAAGGATAGGGCTGCTCAACATGAAAACCGCCTGTCGGAAGCTGAAACCCGAGTCGATCAAGTGAACAATCGCGTTGACTACGTGATGGTTGACGTGAAGAAAACGCTGGACGACCTCAAAATTGGGGATGGAGTTGGAGCTCCCGTGGTAGCTACAACACCTTCGCTACGTGGATTCAAAGTGCCACCGTTCGACGGGACTTCTTCCTGGTCGGCCTATAAAATCCAGTTCGAGGCTGTCATGAAAGCGAACTGCTGGAATAAAAGTCAGGCCATGACTGCTCTCACCCTAGACCTGCGCGACCAGGCCTTAACTGTTCTCGAAGCTCTCGGTAAGGAAGTGACTTACGAGCAGCTCCTTGAGGCATTGGAGGCGAGATATGGCGACGCTCACTTGGAACACGTCTTTCGTGCGCAGCTCAAAGATTGCGTGCAACGCAGTAACGAAAACCTGCAGCAGTGGGCCCTTGAAGTGGAGAAGCTGGTTCGAAAAGCGTACCAGTCTGTACCTGCGCTCATTGTAGGGAATTTGGTGCAAACATTAATCGACGGCATCCGCGACCTTGAAGTCAGAGCTGCTGTGAGGCTCGGGCACTACGAGACACTTAAAGACGCCTTGACCCATGCACTGGAGGTGGAAGCCGTGCGGCAGGATCATCGTCCCCACCGCGTCAGGGAGGTTGCAGCAGCTACAGTTCGGGACCGCAATAACGGCTACAGCCCTAGGTGCTACAGCTGTGGGGAAAGGGGCCATCTTCGACTCAGCTGCCCTAAGCGAATTGTAGAAAGGGAAGGTTATCGATCTCGAGAGGGTAGTGCGGCTAATAGCATCGCCCAGCAGCAGCAGGGAAACGAGTAAAAGCCAGGACTGCGGTGCGGGTGCTGGCTGATGTTAAAAGAGCCCCAAGGATTTCGATCTCAAAAACCCATGATGGGAACAGCCTTATCATCAAGGGCGAAGTCAACGGAACGCCGTGTAAACTGACCATAGACACTGGAGCCTCTCGCACGGTTGTCAGTTCCCAACTTATAAGTCGGTTCCTTGGGGACTCCGCATACAACCGAGAACGCATTAATTTGGTGACAGCCACTGGTCAGCGCATACCCGTCCGTGGAGAGACGGAGATGGAGTTAAAGCTAGGCAACATGATCTACCTGCATAATGTCATCGTGGCTGATATAATGGACGATTGCATCCTGGGCCTAGACTTTATAAGGAAGAATTGTTGTGAGATCGACGTTAAGCAAGGTGTTTTGAAATGTGGACAAGAGGAACTTTTCGTGGAAGGGGCGTTACCAGGGAATATGTACAGCCTTAAGAAGATTGTTCTTCCGCCGAGATCGGAAACGATTGTGCCGGTTAGTCTTCCTCGGAATTCTGGGCAAGCTCATCGTTGTGTACTCGTGAAAAGGGTAGACAATGAGACCTTCCATGTAAAGTGGCTCGAACCTTGGTCAGAACCACCGACATCTCAGGAGTACGTGTGTTGAACTTTTGTGATCAGGAACAGATTATAGGAAAAGCCACATTGGTTGATACTAGTGAGGAAGTGGATTGGTTGCGTCGGTGCGAATATCTATCGACTGGGACTCCCAGCAAGTATGGACAAATGAGAGTGACCACACTTTTAGAAGACTGTCGTAGCATTCTCTCCCCGAATAAAATGGTCAAGGCGAAGAAGTTATTCAAGTACGCCAATGTTTTCTCGTTAAACGAAGCTGACATAGGAAAGACTGGCTTAGTTCAACACAAAATAAACACAGGAGAAGAATTGCCTATTCGTCAGCGGCCAAGAAGATTGCCTGTAGCACGTGAAAAAGAATTGGAAACCATGATTGAGGGAATGGTGAAGGATGGTGTTATTGAACCTTCATCTAGTCCATGGTGTTCACCTGTGGTGCTGTTAAAGAAGAAGGACGGAAGCATGCGGTTTTGTGTTGACTACCGCCGCCTGAACGACGTTACGAAGAAGGACAGCTATCCCTTGCCAAGAATTGATGACACGCTGGACATGCAGGCGTAAAGTGGTTTAGTACGCTGGACCTGAAAAGTGGCTACTGGCAGGTTGAAATTGACCCTAAGGACAAGGACAAAACTGCATTCTCCACAGGAAATGGTCTGTGGCAATTTAAAGTCATGCCGTTTGGATTGTGCAATGCTCCAGCAACGTTTAAAAGGTTGATGGAGCTTGTACTTACCCGGCTAATTGGAGATGCCTGTCTGGTCTACTTGGATGACATAATCATTGTAGGCCGTACGTTTGAGGAACACCTTCAAAACCTGGAACGCGTGCTCATGAAGATCCAGAGTGCCAACCGAAGTTGAGTCCGAAGAAGTGCTCACTATTCAAACGGCAAGTTAGCACTTTGGGGTATGTAGTGTCGGAAGAAGGTATCCGCACGGATCCAGAGAAAATTGCCGCTTTCAAAGAGTGGCCGGTTCCAAAACACAAGACACAGGTTAGAGCATTTTTGGGTTTGTGCTCTTATTATCGGCGATTTGTGAAGAACTTTGCAGATATTTTCCACGTGGTAGAGCAATGCTGCAGCTACATTATGGTTATAGCACGAATGGGTCGGCTCGACCGGGGAAGGACCACGCTCTCACAGAAAACCAGCGTAAAATAGCAGCTTAACGCTGCTGTGTTTCGTATGATGAGTATAGAGAACCGGAGACCCTTTTTACTGGCAAAGAGGCATTCCATCTTAGTCCTCACGGGTGACAACGCATCTGCATCTTGAGTCTTTATTGAGGATAGATGTAGATGTCTATGGGCCACAGTAACCGCTTACCATCAGGTGGACTGTGTGCTCGTTTGTCACCCGATCCTATAAAAAAAAGATATAGCCAAACCTCTGCACAAGCTAACCGAGGAGAAGTGACATTTCTGCTGGGATGAAAGTTGCGATATTGCATTCCAGGAGCTCAAGAACCGTCTGTGCAAAACACCCTGATGCGGGCAAGGTATTCATAGTTGACATAGACGCAAGTGATATAGGATTTGACGGTGTGTTGTCTCAACGGAATGGTAATCAAGAGATTGTGATAGCGTACTTCAGCAAGTCGTTGTCAAAGGCAGAAAGGAACTATTGTATCACAAGACGGGAATTGCTTGCTGTGGTAAAGTCCTTGCAGAATTTTAGCAAATATCTTCTGGGGCGGAAATTCCACTTACGAACTGACCATGCTGCACTAGAATGGCCATTGCAGTTCATAAATCCGGAAGAACAAGTTGCGAGATGGATTGAACTACTGCAGGAATACGACTTTGTAATCGAACATGCAGCAGCGGGAAATCTCATGGCAATGCAGATGCATTGTCAATAAGACCTTGCCCTGAAGATTGCAAGCATTGTACTAGGCAAGAGGGTAAGGAAGTGGTATCTGTGAGGATGCTCAGGACAGACCAGCTCAGCAATGAGTCGAAGGACAGCCTACAACATGCACAGCAGGAAGATTCGGACATTAAGCCGATTCTGGAATGGATGAAGGCCAGTGCTCCTATGCCCAAGTGGAGCGACGTCTCAGCGATGAGTTTGACCACGAAAAGTTATTGGGCCCAATGGGACAGCTTGCTGATTCAGGATGGAGTCCTGTACCGTAAATGGGAAAATGGTCGGGGAGACAGCTGTCATTTGCAAATGGTTGTCCCTAAGGCTAAAGTACCGGATGTTCTACAGCTGTACCATAGTGGTTGTTCAGGAGGCCACCTGGGAGTTAAACGAACTCTACTGAAGATCCGAGAACGGTTTTACTGGGTCCACAGTCGTGACGATGTCGAGGACTAGTGCCGCAAATGTACAAGTTGTGCGGCTGTAAAGGGACTTCATATTCGTAGTAGAGGTGCATTGAAATTGTACAATGTTGGTGCACCATGGGAGAAGATAGCCATTGACGTTGCGGGGCCGTTTCCGGAAAGTGAAAGTGGTAACAAGTATTTCATGGTTGTGATGGATTACTTCACTAAGTGGCCAGAAGTCTTCGCCATTCCAAATCAAGAAGCTTCAACAGTTGCAGATAAACTAGTTCATGAAGTCTTCTGTCGTTTTAGAATACCCTTAGAGATTCACAGCGATCAAGGAAGGAATTTCGAGTCTCCAGTTATTCCAGGAAACTTGCAGAGTTATGGGTACTCATAAAACACGAACAACTTCTTACCACCCACAATCTGATGGAATGGTAGAACGATTTAATCAGACATTGGAAAGGTACCTGGCAAAAGTTGTGGAAAAACGGCAACGAGACTGGGACAGTCACATACAACCGTTTTTGTTGTCATATCGAAGCGCTGTTCACGAAAGTACATCAGTGACGCCAGCTTTCGCAAACTTTGGGAGAGAATTACGGCTGCCTGCAGACCTGATCACCGGAATACCACCTGATGCCCCACGCAGTATAACCGATTATGCAAATGACTTGCGGAACAAAATGAATGACATTTATGAGCACGTCAGACAGTCGGGCCAGCAAACGTCTGAGAAGATGAAAACACGGTATGACCGCAAAATGAACAACAAAGGGTTTGACGAAGGTTCACTAGTGTGGTTACACAATCCAGCTCGCAGCAAAGGGAAATCTCCTAAGCTTCAAGCTAAATGGGACGGACCGTACCGGATTGTGACAAGGATCAATGACGTAACCTACTGGATACAGAAAGGTGCCAGAGGTACTCCTAAGATCGTCCATGTGGATCGACTGGCGCGTTATTATGGAGCCAATAATGCTCGGGACGAGCATGTCTTAGGAGGGGGCAGTGTTGCGCGCCACTATTAATGTCTTGTACATGGCAACACTAGTTACACTAGCGCCCTCTAGTGTCGAGTAGCAGAACTAGGAGAGTCAAGATCCTTCCAGAAACTTCGGGACCGATAGTACTCGAACATTCTAGATGTCGCTACAGTAGAAGGTTCTGGAAACTATCTGAGGCCCTATATAACGCCGATATAGACCACGACCGAGGCAGTATTGAATTGGCGATACAGGAGAATACTTCGAAGCGAAATAACGGTGAACTGTGTTTTATTATTAGTGTGATTTTAAGTTTTAATTAGTGTTGTGTAATTAAAGTGTCAATTTTGGTAATTCACTCGGCAGTTTTCAATTGTCGCGAACCCCAAGCTCGTAACAGTATTTTTACGTAACCCCGCAGAACTATATTTTGCAATTGTTTGTAAAATTAATTTTGTGACTACTTTGGTGGCTTACCGAATTATAATTTTATTTATTATTGAAAAAAATATTCAGACAAAACACTGACTTTGTAGTTTTGTACTCAACACCGACACGTATGACATAGGTAATAAGTATTGTAACGAGATTCGAAATCACGGGCCAACTTGCATTTCTAAAACCCCGAAAACAAAATTGCGTATTTTGAATAATTAATTACTATACCTACAATAAAATACAATATATTTTATTATATTGGATTCAAATGCATACTAGAAATATTGCAAATTGGATCAATGAAAATCATACAAAAATCATACAAAAATATAATATAAATCGCAAAAAATTCCGCGCCCAAGTCCTATCCCATGACAATCGAGAATTACTTTAGAATATTTTAATTTTATTACAGTCAAACAATACAAGGAAGTTTGGCATCGCTTTGTCTTCTTTCAACGTAGTGCATCTAGTTCAAGGTGAGGAAGTACGGCATCGTTACATAATATCTGCCTACGAATAATGGTATTTGTTGCACAACAATATCGTCTGCGCGCCATCTAGCGTGCCAATGTGTAAACTATGTTTTTGGCGATTTGCTTGTCAAGTTGTCAAAATTCACTCACACTACTAAAGAAGTGTCAAAATTTTCACACCAGATTCAATTTCAGCCCATGCAGAAAAACGCTGACATGAGCGAACTGATTGCTGGGGGCCGCGAATATAAGAAAATAACCGGTTCAAGGCTGTGTTTGAAAATTTAAGGTGTTTGACTAAGATGTTTTTAAAGTATAGATACGTCATACTCGCTCTAAAATGGCAATACGAAAGTCAGGTAATTGTCCGACTCGCATTCAGTCAGGCACACTCTCGCGTCGCCGCTATACCTTCGCTACAGCGCGTAAATATTCTAGTTATTCGTGGTAAAAATGCCTTCCTGTGTTTTAAGGTGGTGCACAAATTACACGGAAACAGTTAGATATAAGAAAAACGTCTCATTAATATTTTGAATATAGATGTTTTGTTCATAATTGGTTTTATTGTTTCAACACTAACTGTTACGGCCCGCAGCTGCTCCTGCAAAGGTTCAATATCCGGGGCTCATGAGCAGAAGATTCAACGAGCAGCCGCAGGTTCGAGCTCGAGTGGCTATATGGAAGAATTTCGTATAACACTAAGCTATATGGGAGAATGCTAGAAACACATATTACGTACCAGTATCAGAAGCTAACTTCGCACCAAGGCTCGGTCAGGCCGTGAGTGGGTGTAAGGTGAATGGCAAGTAGTGTTCAGTGATGTGTAAATGTCTGTGACCTTGACCACCTTAGGCGACCAGAAGCGGCCGAGTTCCATGATGCCCCACAATGCTGCATCGCTCCAGCAGGCTCCACCGCTGGACCATTTCTTTCTTCCTTGTCATTATTTCAGTCTATTAGCTTCATTATACACTAACTTTAATTTTAACTAACTTAAACTCGCCTAATTCCACATTCATCGTAGAATCGAATACGTGATACCCGACACAGTAAGGACAGCAGTTCCAATTCGACATTCAATGTCCCGGATTCACTTATCACAAAATTATAAATAGGGAATTAAAGCGATCTCTTATTGAGTCATACGATTCAGCGTTAAACACAACTAAGTTCCTTCATTCGACACCAAAACACCACGTCGCGAACAGATTCAAAATACGCCTCGTTGACACGTAAACTAACAAGCCAACCAACACAAAAAGGGGCACTTAATGCGACGCCACAATTATAATGATTTCCTGACGATCAACCGGGAGAAGCTCTCGAACAAGGAATGCGCGGTTCGAATCCTAGACCGTATATCTACTCGACGCGCGCGTGC